GAGGAGGAGGAGGAGGAGGAGGGCTATCGACAGAACAGCGAGAGACGCCGAAATCTCTCGCTCAAAAGCGTGGTCTAATAACGCGGCAAGGTCGAGCAGACATATTTCGGTGCCTGCGAAATCGAGATTTCGAATTCGGGACTCGCAGGTGAATCTCAACAGTCCTCGGTTGGCTATCGCGATCGCGTTATATATTTGTAGGAACAAATACAAATTTCGAAAGGGGGGGAACACACGCATCAAACCCGGACCAATTTTGGTACGCGAGAGAGAGAGAGAGAGAGAGAGAGAGAGAGAGAGAGAGAGAGAGAGAGAGAGAGAGAGAGAGAGAGGCTACGCTGATTCGATAAATTTCACGCGAAATTATGCCGCGTGAATCACGCGCGGTCGACGTCGAGAAGCTGGCTACGAGAATTTTATTAGGTAATTCCGGTTGGATGAATAGGAGCATAGTTTGGCATATTATTCATATAAAATAAGCGCAAGATGCGAGAAGAACGTACGAGCAACTTGGCACGTTCTTCTTCTTATTTCTCTGTGTGCAACCCTGACGTTTCGACATACCTAATTCCCTGACCTAATTCCAAGGTTCCGAGGGAACCTTGATCTTCGAGGCACGCGGAAACGCTGTTAATTGTGTAAATATCGTCGACGTCGGAAATTCGCGATCGTGAATTTTGTCTGACAAGGAACGGGATACTGGACGGGGCAGAAAGGGACAATCGTGAATTGTCAAGGACGTTGGGCCTGTTGTCAACTTTTCTCCCGCGATCCAGCCGAACAAATTCACCCTCTCCCTCCCGATGACTGCCCACGCATTTCTAAAATAAATTACGCCGCGGTCGGCGAAACAGGTTTATTACTGGCCGCGCATTAGCGAACTGGAGCGTCCGAAACCTCCCTCGTAAAATGTCCTTAATACTAAAACTACCAAGAACTAAAATATAGAATTTTCATCAGAGATATCAAAATGAGAAAAAAAAAAAAATGGAAATACAGTAGAATACACAAACTTTTGTTCAAAAAATATCATTTAGACCTCTAAAAATACATTATTTTTTGTATATCTGTATAATGTATATGTATCTAAAAAATATATATACATATCTAAAAAAAATTATAAATTAGTCATTTCGACCACTTCGGTAGTTCTAGTGTTAAAGCTTTATTTAGGCGATGCTCGCGGCCGAAATAAAGACACAGAGACTTAATTTCCTACACTTCCCTGCGTCGTGACAATCGCGAAACGAAACGGAGAAGAACGATCTCATTTCCGTCGACCCTTATTTCTTCGAGGCACGTACGTACGTACGTACGTACATCGTCCTCGTTATCGGCCGCTCGATATCGCGAAGGAGAGCAAAGTATGCCGGATTCCTCGCATCGATGCCCGATAGAGCGATGCGTGCGCGATATAGCACGGCCAACACACGGAGCGTTCGAGCAAGCTACCTCGGCCGTTTCCGTCGTCCGCTCGGCGCCGCTCGGCGCGGCACCGCGCAACGCGTGTAATCAAGTGGTATAAATAATTCCGTGGCGCAGCCATGAGCCGGCCACCCGAGCGGAGAGCTCATTCCCCTGTTATGACACGCCGGAATCGGGACGCCTGGTCGTCGCGCGCGACTACGGCCCACCATGCAACCCCTTCGCCAAACAGAAACACGCGACCGCCAGTTTTTTTTTCTCTTTTCTCTCTTTTTTTTTTTTTTTTTGAGGACTGGCTAATCGCCGCTCGGTTTACACGGTGTATGAAAATCTTCCTCGCGAATATATTTCGTATTTTCAACGTGGGAACACGAGGCAGTTTAATTTGTGTATCTTGAATGTATTCTGAGAAATTTGGGTATGAATGATAATAGATAGTCAGCCCTTTAACCACGTATAATGTTTTGCTATTTGCTTTCACGTATACAGTGTATGAAAATCTTCCTCGCGAATATATTTCGTATTTTCACCGTGGTAACACGAGGCAGTTTAGATTGTGTACCTTGAATGTATTCTGAGAAATTTGGATATGAATGATAATAGATAGTCAGTCCTTTAACCACATATAATGTTTTGCTACTTGCTTTCACGTATACAGTTAGTTGCAACGACGTACACACGCTACAGGCGTGACGATGTGTATCATCATCTTAGGAATAACTGTCCAATGAAATATACAGCTGTTTCAACGTCGACACGGGAAAATTAGGATTATGCATTAACACAGGGGTGAGTCACGTAACTGAAATAATTTTTAAATTACGCGTCTAATGAATAAAGCGAGAGAGTATTAAATTCCAAGCAAAAAAAGTATTAACCTTCGCGTAGCCGACACCGGTCATCGTTGACCCAGAACTTGAATCGCAAAAAAGGTCCAAATGGTAACGATTTATATGCAAAGAACATGCAATATACAAAAAACACAATAACGTTGTACGTACGCAGTGCACACAAATAAAAAATATGTTTATAAAATTTTACATTTTTTAAACAAACTCCTTTCCTCCCCATACTATAAACATTATTAAAGATAATATCCTGTACCAAAAAGTTAAGTGCAGTAAAAATTCAGTTATGGGTCAAAAGTGACGCCGCCTCGCTCATTTACGTCGGCTATATCGGAGGGTCAAGCCACATTGGTCTTAAACCTTTAATAGTTAAGGAGATGATGAAAACTGCGTAAGACCATTTGCTTGCCACACGTTAATTTCCCAATATGGATGATGAGAAACAATCGATGCGCCATATTTTGGTTCCCTTGAAACCGTACGACTTTCGTACTAAACGATTTTTCATTCGGCGCGCAATTCAAAAGTTAGTTTCAAGCTACGCGAAACACCCTGTACGTACGTATCGTGAACGTAAAACGAACGTGTGAAAAAATTTGATAAGTATCGTGAAGATGAAAAAAAAAAAAACTCGTTGATCATTTGCAACGATTTCAATTGATAACTTGGAGTTATATAGAAAGCGCACGAGATCAACATTCGTACAATCACGGGGAAATTCGCGCGATAGAATCTCTCTCGCACGCAACGTGGCGTTCGTTCGTTCGTTCGAGTTGGAAGAAAACGAGCGAGCGGCCGGTTTAAAGAACCGAGAGAAACCGCATCGCGTCCAGGATGGGCCGATTGCCGACTAACGCCCCGGATCGCGAACCGGTCATTAGTGCAACGGAACCTGCAGCGCGCCTGGGACAGGGGGAACGCGGATTGTCCGCGAGCCGCAAAGCGCTCGCGCTGTGGATGCCCCTATTATCGGCCATCCGACCGCTAGAATGCCGTTAGACGACAGTCGATCTATTGTTCTACGTGTGTGCATGCGATCTTAACGCTCCTCGAGCGGAGGGCGAAGCCAACGGCCTAACCGCGGCTAAATCAATAACCCGCTGCATCACTTTCTTTCTCTCTCCGCCTTGCAGATTTCCGCTGCGACTTTTAACGAGTTTTCCCGTGCCCTTCGTGAAATTCGAATCGTCGTGGATTTTCTTGGCGTTACGGAGGAAAAGTAACTTGTCTTCTCTGAAAACAATGCTCCAAAAATTCAAACGACGAGGAACGAGATTCATGAGACTTTCAAAGGTTAATCCGACTCGAGTTTTTCAACCGATCATACACACAAGGTGTCTCGTGACAGGAGGTCTTTTTTTTCACTTTCTAAGTGAAAAAAAAAAAAAATGAATGGAAAGGAAAGAATAAAATTTGTTCGTCAAAGACCTTGCTTTGCGAGAAAATCGAGTTTGAATATTTATCTAGGATACTTGAATTTAGCTAATTTCCGGACGTGACAGAGAAAAGTAATTAACAAAAGTTGTTGTTCCAAGCAAAGGACGTAGAGTAAAATTTGTTTTCGAGGAAATCGGAAATTCGAAAATTTACCAAGGCAATTTTTCACATTCAAGGTCTATTTTCTCGAAAATAACGAAGGGAGAAAATTTCATTTTCCGCGCATAGAGTATCCTCGAGTGTCAATTACGCCAATACGAAATTATCGAACATCGAGTATACTCGAGCATACTCGATAAATCTTCAAACTCGATTTTCTCGAGAAAAAACAAAGGCTTCGAATGAGAAAATGTTATCCTTTCCTTTCGACTCGTTTTTTTTTTTTTTTTTTGACGTAGAATCACCGATTTACACTAGTTACGAGACACCCTGTATCGCGTCTGTGTTCGATCATCAACGAGTACACGGTGTACAAAGTCACGGTATAATAAATACGTCCGTGTTATGCTCGAAGAGACACGCACCGCAATTTCAATACAAACAACCGTGGTGTACATGGTGCAATACAGTTACGGTGGTCAGACGTTTCCGGTTTCTTTGAATCCTCCGGAGCGACCGACTGCATGGGTAAGACGCGTAATAGATTCCAGCGAGTGTGTCGTTTCAAGAGCAAAAACAGGGGAGGGGCGGGGGCGAATGTATGGATGTTCGCGGAAACACCGGCGTCGTTTCGATCAAACGCGAGCGCAACTTTTCGCCGATTTTTCGCAGTTGAACCATTTTTATCGTCCTGGAACTTCCGTTATCTGGTGACGTTCCGTGCCCGCTCCAAGTTACTGTGGTGGCTACGGTCGGAGATAAACAAAAAAAATTCGCGAATCGATATCCTTTATCTGCGCTGCCATTGGAAGCCGGACAGAAAAAACTCGCCTGTTCGCGAGGCGTGACTTTTTTTCATTCGCAAAGCGTCGAACCCTTCTGCGCATTACAACTACGAACGCTTCCGAAAGGGTTTGGCAAATCAACTCTGTCACTTCGATAATAATCCGGCAATTGTTAAAACTACGAATATTCGTAGTTCGTGAAATAAAGGCAAGTTAAACGAATTGAATCAGCTGAAGCATTTCAAAATCACAACCTGGCAATCCCGGCGACGTTTTTGAAAAAGATGATTTGCTCACCAGCAAGACCCGCGAAAATTTGAAATTCACCGCAAGATGACTTGGATCGAATATATACGGAGAATTTTTAGCGATAAGATAAGAAATATTATATTCAAAGAGGACATACCATCATTCCAGGCAATGTAATGAGGCACGAGCGGCACGATAGCGAGAGATCTCCTCGTTACAGAGGGGCAACCGGGGCCTGTGGCCCTGGTTGGTGGGATCCCACCATGCCCCCCCACCCACGGTTCCTTCTCGTTGCCGAAATATTTGCACCAGCGTACACTATCGTCGACCGGCGAATATTTCTTCTTTTTTTTTTTTTTTTTTTCTTTAATCACACGACGACGATACGCGTTGACAGCTGTGTCGCCTGTGTTACAGATCCATATTCTTTTTTTCTTCTCTCTCCTTTCGAGGCTCGAGTCGCGGAAGATTCTCTCAACGGAACTTGAAGGTCATTCTTCCGAGGAACGCGCCAACGCAATCGTCGTACTTTCGCTTTCGTCGTGTCTTTCGCGCTCTTCCGGAGACGCTCGAACCACCACCACCACCACCACCACCACTACCACCGGCGCGCCACCACCGACAACAACTTTCTTTCGCGCCAGAACTTGCAAGTCTCTGTTGTTGTTGAACGGCGCGTACACAACAAATCGCGAGAGCAAGAAGTCACCAGAGCACGCGCTCAAACTTCAAATCGTTTCTGGTCTCTTTCGCCATAAAAATTTCAGCGCCAGTTACTTTACAGGAAGGGAAGGATATACACTGTACAGATTGAACACTATGAACAACGACAGAGTCTTTACGACTCTTACCGACTGCGTGTTACACATTTACCGTACACGACGCGACGTACGACACGCTCGGTGATGCCCGTATAATGAAAACGTAATGCCCTTCCGATCACTTTGACTAGCTATCGCGCGAGCAGCGAAGTTGATGTCAGCAGGCGCGCACGTTCGAGAACGACGACGTCGCCGCCGCCGCCGCCGCGCGCGTCTGTGTTCCTCGCCGCCAGTCGAACGTCACGCAACCGGCGAGAAAAAGACGCCGGGAATAGAATCGACGCTCCCGTGTCCCTCGGCCAGCATATCACCACTGTTTCACGCCGCTCGTTCGGCGTCCGGGCGAACGACGCGGCCGCGCCGCTTGGATCCGCGGGCCGAAATTCTCAGCTCGTCGAAACGAGTTTGCGTGCCGCATATCGTCCATCGGTTCCGTGACCTCCGAACTCTCTCTCTCTGTCCGAAATGTCTTTCTTTTCGTTTCTTTTCCTTTCGTTCGTCCCTCCCCCCTCTCTTTTTTTCTCTCTTCGCCCTCTTTCTTTCTCTCTGTCTTTCACTCCGTCGATGCGAGTGACAGATAAGACGCGCACACCAACAACAACGCCTCGACGATAACATTCACTCCGAAAAACACTCGGCGCACCGCCGCACCGCCGCCGAAACTTCCTCCAGTCGCATGCTCGCAGACACAACGACTTCAAACGGCATTCGGCATTCGCGAATTTTTAACACGTCCCGTCCAACCGATTCGACACCGTTGTTCCCGCGAAATCTCATCGAGCACATGGTAAAAACGATTCCTGCAACGTGGGGCCGTGTACCTCTGTTGGTTCTTGTCTTTGCTAATGACCCAAAGGGGGTGATTTTTTTCTCTGTTCTCTGTTTTATGACGATTTTTATGCAACGTCACGGTGACACCGTCGGGATCAACCACGTGCACCAGAGTGCAAACCCTCGAACGAATAACGAGAACCGAGCTGCGTTCAACGTTTCTTTCGACAACAGCGTCGGTTCTCCCTCCTCGATTCGTCAACAGGTAGTTCGAGAACCTCTCGAAAAACATGCGTAGAAAGACGTGAAACGTAAAACGTTTTCTCGATCGAATTTTGGACGAATGTCTCGTCGTGTCTCGTCGAAGGAACTCACGACGTGTGACAAATGATCAAACGGGAGAAAAGGAGACGACGGTACACTTCGCGGCTTCGAACAGCTGATCGCGCCGCGCATCACTCCCTGTCTGTCTGTCTGCCGGCGAACGACAGGAAAGAAAGCCAGATCTCACTCTCTCGTCTCGGGAATAGAATTCCTCACTAACTCACTCACTCACTCACTCACTCTCTCTTTCTCTCTCTTGGTTCTTTTTCTTCCCCTCCGTCTCGTTCGCTCTTCAACGCGCGGATTCAATAGGGATCCCAATTTATCTCCGTTTTATTTTCGCCCGTGACGAATCTCGATCGTCTCGTTTCGCGTTTATCTCGGGAACAAACTCTTCTCTCCCTTGTTCTCTCATTGTCCAATCCACAACGTCACACCAACACTACCGAAATGTTGCACTCCACCAACGCCTCTCGTGTTATACGCTCGCGGAGCCCGTCACCGGTTGATAACACGGCGAGTCCGCATGTGTGCGTGGTCTTACATACGACGATACTCACGATACTTCTCGCTCTTTTCTGCCGCGTTATCTCTCTCTCTCCTCTCTCTCTCTCCTCTCTCTCTCTCTCTCTTTCTTTCTCTCCCTCTCTCTCACCGCGGAAACCGCCGGACTATTTTCGTTGGAACTAACACGGCTGTAGTAGCACGCGTCAAACCTCCCCCACTCTTTATTTTTCTCGTTTGCTTTCCTTCCTCCTTCGCACGTTCTTCTTTTCCACGCCGTCCTCGTTCCTCCTCGTCTTCCTCGTCGTAGTCTTTGTCGTTGCTGGTGTTAACGTTGTTGGCCCTTTGTTCTTTGTTGCAGCACCGATCGGCCGGCACCACCACGTTGCGTGCCTGCCAGCAGGCGAACGCCGGAAAGAAGAAGAGGAAGAGGTGGAAGAGGACGACCGGACTTTTTCATACGCAAACATCGGCCGGCTCTCGCCTTTTTCTCGTCCCCGCCACTCTGTGTGTGTGTGTGTGTATGCGCGCGCGTGTATTTGTGTGTGTGTGTGTGTTACGATCGTGAAAATTCACACCGTGAACTTTGACCGGCAGGCTTCCGTCTGCTGGGAAGTGCTCGTGCTGCTCGATCGACGGCCGAGACGCAACGTGTTGTTTGCTCAAACGTTCGAACGAATCCTCGTTTGCTTCTTTCCTTCTTTCTTTTTTATCTGTTCCTTTCTTTCTTTCTTTCTTTCTTTCTTGCCACTCTCGGTGCTCTGCGACAAACGTTGCTGGCTGTGAGGCCAACGTGCTCCAAAATGTGTCTTTCAACGTGCTCGTGGCCTTCGTACTTTTCAATGTAACTCGCAGGAAACGAAACAGGAAAAGAACCAACGAAACAACGAAGGAAGAGAGCGAAACGACAGAGAGAGGCAGCGGGCGAGGGAACGCGGAAAGCACGCGAGAGAGCGACACGAGGCGCGAGGAGAAACGCGCTCGGACAGACAGGCGTTATGAGAGAGGAGGAAGAGCAAGGACCCCTGTGATGTTCGTCCTATCGAAGTCCGCGAGCGATTGACTCCCGCGCGTCCCGGTCTCGGTCTCGGAACGGTCGTGGCACGCGTGAGGGGAACACGGGAGGGGATTCCCGCGGGAGGAGAAGCGGCACCGCGGAACGAGGGGAGATCGAGAGGGTACGTCGGTCGGGTGGTCGGGCGAGGGTCGGGGAGGGGCGGTTTGCTGGAGGAAACCTGGGGGAGGGAAGAATCGGTGGCGATGGCGGTGGCGGTGGCGGCGGCGGCGGTGGCGGCGGCGGCGGTGGCCGCGGTAGAACCAGGAGGTAACGCCAAAGAGGGACTGCGGCGTGAGAGGGGCCGGCGGGGAGCGGCGGCGCTGCCGCGGGGGGGTGGGGGTGGGGGGACGGCGCGTCCACGACAGCGGAGGGGGGTGGATATGGCGCGTGCCACTACACGCTGGCAGGTGGAGTGCGCGTGCCCAGAAATCTTCTCTTTCTTCGCTCCCTTCCCTCTTCGCCCTACAGAACAGATCGTTCTTTCCTTCCTTCGTTCTCGTTCTGCCAAACTCGTCCCTCCTCTCGCTCTTTCGCCTCCTCCTTCTAGTCCACCAGCTCCTTCTTCTTCTTCTTCTTCTTCTTGTTCTTCTTCTTGTCCCCCTCTGGCTTTATTCGCGATTCTTCTTCGTTTTAACCGACGATGCGACGTCCGTGTCGCGACCGTGTCACTTTCTCTCTCCGTCCCTCTTTTCGATCTCGCCGCCTCTCTGGTTCTGGTTGCCTACGTTCAGCCGGTCTGCTTTGCAAATACGAGTACACCTTTATTCTGTTATTTCTTCTTCCTCCAGCGTTCTCTCGTTTTTCCGGTCACGGTCGTTGTTACACCGTATTTCTTGTCGTATCCGTAGACGTTCCGCGACTAATTTACCCGCCTTACCGTTCTTTACCTGGCTTTGTCCTTTGCCGCACTCAATCACGCGCCAAGAGGATTATCCTCGTTTTTCGTCTCGTTTCGCGTGACTTTTATTTGTTCGTTGTTCGTTCAGAAGGAAGTACGGCTGTACGCGGGAATTCGAAAAATTTCACTCGTCCTTCGCGCCACTTCCATTCGAACGATCATCGAGGTTGGCAACGTTTCGCAAACGACTGACAGACATCGTAATTTCAGCTAGCAGCACGATTCGAAGATTCCTGCATTCATAATATTTACGCTGCCGCGGTCAGGTTTATTCTCGTAAGCACGATAAGAGTTGCTAACGAAAAGTCTTGGCTGCGATAACCGTCGATGGCACGTAGCCAAGTCGCCGTGACGAATTTCAAATTGCGATATTCGCGAATCTCTCGCGATCGTACGATACGCGTTCTTGTTTCTTATCGACGCTTCGCTTTTACTCGCGTGAACGAGAGAGGAAAAAAAACAACGACGTTCAGACGTTGAATCAGACAGTTGATCCAAACAAGATCGCCTCTACGTTTTTACAAGTGACCTAAACCCACTTTGAAAAAAGATTTCAACTTCAACAGCACGTTAAAAAAACGTACGTCGTAATCACAAACAAATTACACTTTCGGGTTTCGATGCTGTTCGGGCAGTGAAAAAAAAAAAAAAACTTGATTTTCGATTAAAATTATCTCTCGTTCCCCGATGGTGTCGCGCGATAATTTCGTGCGACTCCGAAACGTCCGTTAAAGAGCGAAGAGCTGTCACGGAGGTGCGCACGTGGTTTGCAAGGAGCGCGAGAGAACAACAAACCCCACACAACGAACCTGACGCCCCGAGGAGTCGTCAGCCACTGACTCTCCTTTCGATTCGACTCGACTCGACTTGACTCGGCTCCGTTCGACTGGCCTCGCCTCGTTTCGCCTCGTTTCGTCTCGTCTCGTCTCGTCTCGTCTCGTCGCGACGCCAATGCCTCGCGCCGTCCCGCTCCGTCTCGTGTCGTCTCGTATCGTATCGTATCGTCTCGTGTCGTGTCGTGTCGCCTCGCTCGTCCCGTTCCGCTACGGCACGTAGGCACGCGTTCGGCTACGCTCGCCGTGAACCCGAGTCGACCCGATGTGACTCGTCACGATTCCGACTTCAACTTCGACTCCGATTCGCGCTCGTTACGATCACCGCCAGCTCCTCTTTTGCCCGTCTTTCTACGCCGCCCGTGTGAAATCTCGTGTGTAACACACTCCATGTGTGTGTATGTGTGTATGTGTATGCGTGTGTTACAGGGAGAGGTTTTCACAGCTTCGACCGCCGCTCGAACGGACGGTAACTGTACCGCAACGCGTCTGTCATGTATACGTAGCTTCTCTATAGGTCTTACGTACACCGTAGGAAGCCGAGTCGATATGATGCACCGTGATGCACCGTGAACTGCGAGAGCGGCAAAACAGCGTGAGTGACGGATCGACGTGCATTGTAACGCGCGACGAGAAAGCTTTACAGAGGGGAAGAAACCTGTCGATAATGATATTTGAACGATTCTACGTTCAGACGTTAATCGAATCTCTTTCGAAACCTATGCCGATCGAAACTCTCTCTTCGTTTTTTAAATTTAGGAAAATAAAAAAAATCTTCTGATTTGAACAACATTGGCAACACGATTCCCAAAATATTTGTCAAAACGAATCCCAAAACATTTGTACATTTCAGTGCTAATGCAAACGACAATTTGCAGTTCTCGCACTGGTTGAGGATGGAGTCGCGAGCGCGACTTTAAGCGGCTGCTGTGCAGCTGGCAGCGAAGCTTTTACACAGACGCGTTCACGACACGTCGCCCGCACTCCCAACCTCCACAAACACTTGGCCGTTGCGTCATCACAGTTTCACGGTGCGCCGGGATTCGACGGGAGGAGAAGGCGCGCGCGCGCGCGCGAGCGCGCAAACGGGACCACAGCGAGAACGACGCATCTGTATCGCTCCGCTTACACTTATTACAAATCCGCCAGTGATACTCAACCTAATTTAAACTTCACGCGAGCGTGACCTGTCGGTACAACGTAGCGTGACAAAACGTAGGGATTATACCACCGAAACATGTATCTCCGCGATCAATTTCTTTCGCGTTTCCTTTTCTTGACATTTTTAAATTTCCCAACGTCACATTTGGTTAATGTCACAGTTTGCGTAGTATTCGATTGTCATTTCTTAACTTTTTAACTGGGGAATGACCAGTTTGGGAAATGCGTCGTAAGTATCCCAGTTGAATAAAATCAATTTTTATTCGAAACATGTACTTTGAGATCTCTACCTTTTCGTGTGTACTACAAGCATGACGAGTTAAGTCGTCATAATTCATTCGTTGCGGCGCGCACAGAATGCGACGCTTTGTCGAAAGGATATTTTGAATCGAAGATGAAAAATATCAAAACAGTTCGACTATTTTAACAGCAGGCTATGCTAAAATAATTTCTACAAATTAGACACATTGCAAACTGCGTATACAAAGTTTAATATCCCGATTGACTCTTTGACTGAAAAGAATTTAGGCTCACGCCACGCTAATATTTTTATTCACTGCGTAGAAACACAGACTCGCAAATTACACTGTCACGAAGGCGATCGTTAATCGCTATATGTCGGCCACGTTGACTTCTCAACTTACGATCAGATGCATTCGAATCAAATACGCCAAACGTTCCCACATCCTCGAAAATGATAATTCGCGCCCAGGCCCGCGTATGACAAAGTAATTACCGCGGTTTGGATCGGTTGCGAGACCGAGCCACAATGATCGAGGACCGGTGGGCTCTCGGAGAGCATTTGTCCATCAATGTTAGCCAATGATATGCATCTTCAGAACGAGGCGGTATTAACAACGCGGATGTCGCGTGCAGATATTACACGACACAGGCTGGAATTGCGGGGTGGCGTTTGTAATTAAACGTCCGACACGGTATCATAAAGATGGGCCTCGTGTCGCGGCATCACCCGCGCAATTGACGCCACATTCTTTGAATACTGGATACGCCGTGTGTCGCGTTTCAATTAACACGAATGCAACAATTTTTACTGTACTCGGTGACTTCAGTTTTTGAACATAAACTGAGTATATCCTCGCTTCGAGTTAAAGAAAATTGATCCATTTGCCGCTCACGATCGAAGAAACAGAAAGTTTACCGGCCATATCTATCTATCCTCTCCGAGTAAATGATTCGTCAAACGATGGATTTTCGTTGAACTGTCGAGGCGATCAGAGTGTTTAAAATAACACTGGCTGTAATCGTTTCGGTTCACGCTGTATTGCGCCGGTATCAGTGTGATTGATAGTCTTGTCAACGATCGAGGAACATAGACTGTGAAAAATGCGAACCGATCTAGGGGTATAATAAAGATAAGAAAAGATCAGACGGCCGGAGAACGCACGAGGGGAGAAACTAGGATGCGGTGACGAAGAGCGACAACGATCTGCGTCTTGCAACGGAATATATACAATATAATCTCCCAAATTCTGTTTCCAAAAGATTAGTTTCCGATGGTTCCAGGGGGCCCTGAAATAAAATTGTTCCCTCGACGAAAGAAAACTTTGAATTACGTTACGAAAAATCGAGAAATCGCGCGTCGTCGCAACGGAGAAGCCAAGAGTCGACGATCGAGATGACAATTATCTCGCATGGTCACACGGCACGTCTTGCCGTTTCACTCTCCTACGGTTCGGTTTCGATTAATTCGATTGGTCCCGGCCGGCGGGACGAGAGCTCGAGATACCGATAAATCCAATTAACGACACCAATCTTCCCCTTTTACGACGATGAGTTATTAAAAGTTGTCAGTCGTCGATAATCCTATATAGCCTGCGTATCGAGATAGATACGTAGACTTCTCTCCGCTGGCGAACGAAAGAGTTTCGTTCTTCTCCATTCGGCCGCCACGCCTCCAGATCTCGCATATTTTTAGGTTAGGACTATTTTCGAAAGTGCACGGAAGAAAGGGGGTGAGGCGGACGGCGGACCGAACGACGAGGAAGAGAGACGAGGACGGTGGGAAAATACGGCGGTGGAGAGAGGGGGAACAAGAGCAGAATCGGCGGGGAATACCGATCGTGCCTCCTTTTTTCTTTCGGCGGGTATATATCTGCCGGCTCGTTTTCGCCCACAGTCACGCGAAAGAAGCCAACACCAGTGTTATCCGCACAATGCGCGCACAGAAGAAAGGCCCTCTCGCTAGCGGGACAAGCGGGAGAAAGAGGG